CGAAATTTTAGCGCCAATCTTTTTGCATAAATATGGGCTAGGGACAAGCACCACCTCGGAAATATAAATATAGCGCTGTAAAACACAGGAGAACTAATTTTAAACATAATTAAACGATTTCAAATTCTCATCTGGTGGATGGGGGGAAGTTCTCGTGACATCACTTGTGCCAAAATAGCAGCGCCGTTCTGCGGCAATACGGCGTGCCGGCAGAATTCGCCTAGGCCTGAACGCGTTTGCAAAGCCTTGGCGGGGAAAGCCAAAGCGTAGTTGGCCACAGTGAGCTCGTTCTTGTTGAGGCTCTTTGCACGACACGGCCCGAGCATGCTTCTGGCACGGCCGGTATTAGTTGCTGCGAGTCGCGAGCTGCAAGCCGACGTTAAAAAGGATATGTTTGAACTACGAGGCTGTCAGCAAGAGCCACGCAAATGCCAAATACCTGTTCACACTCGGAGCGGACACGCGCGTTTGATCGAAGTGCTGGATTCGCTCTGTTAGACCACGTTTCGGTAAGCGCTTCTGGACCGATCTTTTACGATTGCAACTCGATACTGACATGACACTCGGCAAAGAAAGGTTAGACCGACATCGCGTAGCTCCCACAAACTGCTATAGCTTGACACTGACGTAGCGTCGAGTCAGAATAAAAATGGCATACTAATAACATAGTGTACATACCGAGTTGCCAAGGTAATCCGTATGGCGTTTATTTGAGCTCTATATCACACAAAACAAGGAGATAGAATCAATGAGAGTCCCTTTTCGACGACAGCGTTCGTCACCGCTGTCTCGGAAAACAAGGAGATCGAGAAGACAAGGGGAAAATATTGACCTCTGAAATTTAGTTCAGGGATCAAACTACTCATCCGGTAAGGGTCCACAAGGGTCGAGCGGGCATATTCCATTCAGCAGGCCAGCCGGTCATGGACAGACGGTCTTGGCCAAGGACCGCCGGAGCAACGGTGCGCCGAGTCGATGTTGCTGCTCCTACTATATTCTGCCGAGCTCGCTCGGTCGGCAGAATCGTGGCTGTTGTAGCTCTTCTCGTGTGTTTGTGGATCCTGCGTTCTTGATCGTCGTGGTCTGTTTTAAGTATTCCTTCCTTTTTTCTTGCTGGTTGAAGTCGGGACGCACGAGAAGAGCACAAAGAAAAATAAATGTCCGTTGGTGGCCGATACCAAGTAACTGAGCGACGCTGTCGGCCTTGTTGATTTGATCGTAAAAAGTGCGTAAGACAGCTTCGGAGCTGTCGTAGGATTCTGTCGTAACCTGCGCAAAGGTTACGGCAATTTCGTTTCGAGAGCACGGGTTTTCTCTCAAATTTGTCGTACGCACTTTTTTCGTCGTGAATTCGCTTCGAGAATCCGGCCTCAGAGCTGGTTTTGTCAGTGCTGCCGTGGTTGCCGACTTGCCGTGGTCCCGTGGTGCAACGTGCGTGCAGCCCTTGCACATCTCAAACGGCCACGTTGTCACAGGTCGTAAATCGTCAACGCGCCACCAAGTGGCAACGCTCGTAACCACAACATTCACGCCGTAGCCTTTCCCGACTGGCACAAGTGACGTCACGAATGCGCCCAATATCCCAAGACGCATCGCGCTCTCCGATGGCCGATTTTTGAGCGCGCGCCCAATCGGGCCAATTAGGGTGAAAAATATAGCCATCCGTTCAAAATACAAACGCGCGATTATGATTTATGAATATCATTGATCATATTGAACCTATTTCTGACCATAATAGGTGTATTTCAAGTTTCACTTCAGTATCCCTTTAAGAGCACCGGTGCAAATAAAAATTACAGATTTTTGTTTCAAGATGAGAAAGGCAGCAAAATAACTGTTATGCACTTTGTACATATCTATGTATGTGACGCCATAGATTGGATTTCACACTTTTGACTTGATATATGCTGTGCTTTATGCTGTTCCATGTTCTAGTGAATATATTCAGTTTAGTGAACTTTCAGCTAAGTGAACCACAGTCAAAACTCGATTTAACGAACCCGGTCCTAACAAACAAATCATGTTTCCCCCCATGTTTCCCACAGGGCTTAAGAACTCGAAATAACGAAGTAAATTGACCCTCAAACCCAAATTATTGAAGTATTAAAAACCAAATATATGCAAAAAGATAATTATTCTCCACTTATTTGGCCAAGTGCACACGGCACCAGCTGGAGTTCTCCACTGTTGTATGGAATTCTATGGGCACATGCACCGAGAGATGATTAAAAATGTCCAGAAGCGTTTCTTCTGAATTTTGTATGATCAATATTTCGGTTGCACAGTTTACTAGAACGTACAAGACTCTTAGAACAATGTTCTGCCATGAGCGCTAAACGCCGTGAAAGAGATCTTATATTTCTTGTTTTAATGCCTTCATAAAGAAACTCGGGGGTTCTCAAACTCGGTTCCGCGAGCTGGTCTCACGGGTTCCGCGAATGCCCAAATTGCACCTCCCCTCCACTCCACTCCACTCCCCCACCCCCTCCCCTCCCCCCTCCCCCTCCTCCTCCTCCCCTCCCCCTCCCCCCCTCCCCCCCCCCCCCCCCGCTGTGGGCTGCATAGCAGGACCCTGCAAAGTGCCTTTATCTCACTTTGTTCTGACATCGCAATTGATATGGTGGGGATATATGAGAAGCAACGCAAGCAAAATTGCCTGCGATTGTACTTATGTCGCCTCTTGACCGGCAAATATGGGGTGGGGGGGTTCCACAGCAATATTTCAGGCTTCCTGGGGTTCTGTGGGAGCAGAAAGTTTGAGAACCCTTGAAGTAACTGATTGCCCTGACCTAACTTCAGCGAGTAATATTCATCTGCCGAGACGATTTTGTAAATTTTTCTTACATTTTATGTCACCAATCTTCCAAACTTGCCCCATGACGCACATTCAGAACTTGTATAATACCATAGACTTAAGCATCATTTATCGCATTCAAGTTTTTTCTCAATAAACTCTGCAAGTATTATTCCCCCTTTTTGCTGTACTGTATTTACAAAGGCAAAGCTGTTCATGAGCACAAAAAATAAGCAAATGAATGGTGATTGCCCGAGTGGTGCGTGATCTGGGAATTTTCGTTGAAACTAAAAGTGCACAATCCCCCACCCTCGAATTTTTGTTGACTCAGCATTGAACTTTAATCACCATGTACCAACAATTTGTAACACCTCACTTAAGACTCTTGGTGCAATATCTAATTTTACGAGGCAATTTTCTTTGCCTGCATGTTTCGAGGGTTTATTTCGTTGCTTCGTGCGCATCAAACTAGGAATTACATTTGCCATATTGTGTCATTCTCTATCGAACATGTTTAAACGTGTTTCGTAAGTGTTATTTACAGCAGGTCCTCTTCTTCGCTAGTAGATGACATTTACTCGATTTATTGTTTTTATGCAAGAAAAGTTTGATTCCATTCTTCCTTCCAGCTCAGTCATTCTCAGTGCCCTTTTTACCCGGTGGTTTTTTACCACAGTATATCGACAATCACAAGAATACAACTCGAATATAATAAGCTAATAGACATTTTTTGTGACACAAGCACTTTTCAACGAAGAATCGAGCCAATCATGTGCGTATAATTGTAACTTGTCCCGTTTTTTCTTGCTTTGTACGAGATTCCTTTCTTTTCCTAGTGTACACACACTTTTACAGCGAAGCTGTCTATGGCCAGGGTTCCGTGGATTTTTCGTGTGCGAGATGAAAAACCCTACACTCGAATTGCTGGACGCGCATGTGTTCCCAGTGTGGGGATTGTGATCCCTGAACATTCTGTTGCGTCAGCGGTTTGGTACGCCGTGGCGGCCGCGCTGACGTAGCGAGAGGTGGCGCGGCTTACCACTGTGAGTGGCTTCCTTCTCTCCCCCTTTGGGGCGATTTTTCGTAACGAACCCCCGCAGAGAGGAGATCGACGTGTCGCTCCTTGATTGGCCACTTCGCCCCCGCCGTTATCTTAAAACCAGCGAACAGCAGTATCTCGCTCTCTCTTCTCCCTGGGATTCGGCGGCGGCAACAACGGGGAACCGTCCGGCGCACCGGTAAGCGTTTACCCCGTCCTTTGTAGCTTTGTGAACGACCGTTCGGCGGTGGGCGATCTCCACACCGACGGCGTTCACCAGCTTATAGCCGCTGTTTTCTTCTTTATGTTTCATTGTAAATAAACAGTTTATCACCGTTACCAACGTGACTGGTGTCTGTTTTCGCTCAACGAGCACCATAACACGCGAGTACGAACCCGCTTCGCGGTAGAGCGTCTCGCCGCGAACGTGGTACTCCCAAAGGCAGTGGCCCCAAGGAGAACCACACCGTATAAATGATTCGAAGTAAATAACCAACATAAAGCGTTGATGAACGTGCGTGCAAGATGTTTGCACGTGCGTTCCTAAACATATTTTGATTCAGAACAGTTAATGCTGCAAACGCTGGCACGTGCGGCGCAAGGAACACCATTCCCTGCATTCTCCTCGATGCTTGGGTATTCGCAATAGGTCTATTTCTCTTCTCTCGTCGTGATGGGCCGCGTACAGTCCGGGCTCCCGAAGAGCAACGCGCCTATGGAGAGCAGTGGCGGGAACGGCACGAGAATGTCATTGGCGGCGGCGGGCGGCAAACACCTCCGACGAAGATTGCGCCGAAAACGCCAAGTGCAAGTGGCAAACCACACAAGACGACGAAAGTCGTAGGGCGGAGAAGGCATAAAAAATATGCTGGTACCATGCTGTGAAATTAGACAACTTTAATGGAGCATAAGCTAAATTCTGCGTCACGTCTGTGTAGTGTACTAAACAGCTTTGCTGGTCATCCACCTTTGCAGAGTGGAATGGCTCATGATTATTTTTTGGCTTAGGTTGAGTGCAGAAAGAGGCAAGAGGCCTGAAGAGGGAACCAGCTAAGTTGTATGGTTATGAGGCGGAGGTCTCCCCTATGATCATTGCCAGGACCCGACAGGTTGAAGAAACGTTGCAAGGTGTGAGGCACTCCCCAGCGAGCCCTCCCAGAGACCCACCTGGAAGCTGTAGGACCGACAGGGCTCCAGGGGCTGCTCCACGACGTAGGACGGAGTCTCCGTGTCACCCAGGCGGTCTGGTCGGTCGCGAGCAAAACAAGGCAAGTTAGCCACTGCTGCCAGACACTTCTCAGTCTCCAGTCTCGACACCTCGGCCAGTAAAGACACAATGTTCCAACTTCGTCTACTGGCAGTTAGAACCGATTCTACTTGAGACTGACCCTGCCTAGTGGTACACTGGGATTCTAAAAACACCACTTCTTAAAGTAGCTTCAAATTGTCCCTAAAAGACAAAAAATATACAGTCGAGCCTGGTTATATCACAGACCAAACATCCCCTTGAAAATCACATGTAATAGTATAGGAGCGTTGTCTTTATGTATCCAACGCCCATGGCGGGGACACTCGATATAGCGAACGAATCCCAGCTGCCTGTTTGTTTTTCCGCAATCCAACAGACAATATGTAGATGTTAGGGCGGGTGCCCTAACATGCACCTGATGCTCGCTAAATAAAGATTTATTCATCATCATCCCAAGCGCCCCGGCCTGCGAGCGAGGAGTTGTGGGAGAGACTGTCCCTCGCCTGGCCATCCTGCCTTGAGATCGCATTGCCTTGTCGCTTGCCTCCTCTTAATCCTCTATTTTTCGATTCCATTACCTATTTTTATCTAATCTAGTGTATTTTTTATTGCTTTTAAGTGTTTCTATTCTCTTCTGCGCACAATATTTCTTGTATATATATGTTATCTATGTCTTTATTTCGTCTTTTTCAATGGGAGTGCCGACGGACAACACTCCGCTTCGCGCGTCGTTCCCCAGGTGAGAACTACCGTTGCTACCGATTCCTATCATGCTGTTAGCTGTTCATTTTGGTTCATTTGACCTGTGTGCAGTCGAGAGGAGCCGTTTATGAACACCCGCGCACATGTCATAGGGAGGCAGAGTTCCGAATCAACAATCGCAACGCGAGAGCTGAGTGCGCTGCAAACACCCTTGGAAAAGGGTGTTTGCAACTGACAACTGCTTAGCAGATAGATTAAGAAGGCATACCATAACCGCATACAAGTTGCGACGTTGGGCCACCGGTGCTTGCAAAGGGCTCGCGCCGCTGCGCGCAGTTTGTCAGGCACCGCAGCGTTAGATATGACGAACGGTGTTACGGCTTCACGGGCATTAGGACAAATGATTCGCGGCAACACATCTCTGCACTTGAAAAAGGGCGTTGGCAACTGACAACCGCTTAGCAGATAGATTACGAAGGCATGCCATAGGCGCATTCAAGCCGAGACATTGAGCGATCAGCGTTTGCGAAGGGATTGCGCCGCAGATCGCAGTTGTCAGGCGCCGCAGCGTTGCATATGCCTCAGCTTCGGAAACATTCGGACAAATGGTTCGCGGCGACAAAATGGAGTGCTTTATCTTGGTCAAGTTAGCGGCACTCGAAGGCATACGCTACAGCGCGAGTCAACGAAGCGAGCACGGGCGGCCAAATCACAGCGCACTCGGCTATCGCGTCGCGATTATTGATTCAGAGCTCTGCCTACCCCTATGACATGTGCGCAGATGTTCATAAACGGCTCCTCTCGACTGCACGCGGGTCAAATTGAAGCAAAATGAACAGCTAACAGCGCGATAGGAATCAGTAGCAACGATAGTACTCACCCGGGGAACGACGCCCGAAGTGGCGTGTTGTCCGTCGGAACTCCCGTCGAAAAAGGCGAAATAAAGACACAAATACAATATATATACAAGAAATATTGCGCGCAGAAGAGAATGGAAACACTTAGAAGCAATAGAAAATACAGTGGAATAGATTAAAATAGACAATGAAATCGAAAAACAGGATTAAGAGGAGGCAAGCGACAAGGCAATGCGATCTCAAGGCAGGGCGGCCAGGCGAGGGACAATCTCTACCACAATTCCTCGTGCGGGGCGGGGCGCTTAGGGAATTTCGCAAAAGGTCTATTGCGCAGGTGGCAGGCACATCGCTTGCATTGCGTTGCGGGGCTGGCAGACCACCAAGCCAGCATCAAGGCTGGAAGATACACAACACAACAAAAAGGAAGTGTAAAACAAACAAACAATGAAGCTTAAAAAAAAAAAGTGGAGGATGGCAATAGCAAAGGGAAGGGCACGCGCGTGCAAGTAGGGAGAGCAGGGAGTGCCCGCTGTCAGAAATATTAGCCTGCGCCTTTTTCCCGAACACTGCTGATACTGCGTAACTCCCTAGCCCCAAAATAAAATAAGAAAAAAGTCTTTGGCAAGTTGAGTGTGTAGACAACAACGGTTGTGCAATCACACTTTGAATGCCTTATCATTGTTTACCTTTTTCATTTGCCGTTTTGCTTTGGCCGTTTGTTTTTACAGCGCAGCTCTTAGGCGCTTGTTTCCGGCTTCAGCGTTACCGTTGGCGTAACCGGGCGGTGCATTATGAAACGCATGACATCACTGGTGACGATGACGTCACCAGTGACATCATTGTGATGACGTGATCACGATGACGTCATCGTCATAGCGATGACGATGAGGGAGGGGTAGCACGCAGGATGAGGAGGTGAGGAGAAGGGAGGAGCGGTGTACCCTCCCCTCAGTACCCTTCCCCTCCTCTTCCTCAAGAGCTGCACTCTAATTCGGTGTTAAAGGGGGTTGTAAGCGACTTTCATCTTTTCTTGAGTTTCTTTTTTTGTTACTTGAATTTAAAGAGTTTTCTTTTTTGCTCGCTTAACTTTTTCTATGAATAAAAATATTTTTTTTATGCGTCTCGCTTTTCCTGTTTTCTTTCATTTTTTTTAAATTATTTTTGTGCTTTGTTGCTTATGCTGTGTGGAGGCCCCGCCAGGTGCGCGTGTAACCGCGGCGGTGTTTGCAGTCTGCGCCAACTATGCTCCACTGTATTTAGCGGCTCTTAAATGCTCTATTTGGAAAACTCCTGTTTGTCACGACCTTCGGTATACATGGCTTGCATTGACATCACGTCAGCCGCCATTGCTCCATACCATGTTCGAGTGCCCATACCTTCTGCGGCATACATTTGGTACCATTGATTCTGTTCTTCTCCCCAAGGCTTGGCAAGAAGAACAAACTCGATTTCATTTGCAAAGTGGATTATTTCATTGGATGACGCTGCCGACGTGCTTCTAGAATGTAGCAGTGATGACGATGGGACTGACATCACCAGTGCGGGTGAGTCGTAGTCTAGTCGCAGACGGAGCGAGAGCGACAGGGAGCAGCTTCAGTTGTCCTGCCTCCAGCGTGATCTTCCTAATTCCGACAACGCCTCGGCACCTCATGCACCTTGCACGTGCATGCGCAGCCAAAGCATGCCAGAAGGCATCGATCGCGCGTTGGAGGCTGGGCTTTCGAAACAGATACTTTGCTATTCTCACGGATTTGCAATAAAATGTGCATCTAAACATTTTTTTTTTGCTGATGTGCAATGTGGGGAGTCGACTTGCAATCGAGTTGACTTACAATCACATACATATGGCACAGTCGCCAACCGATTTTTAGGACGCCGATTTTCTGGACATGTTCCATTATTCGCACGTTTTCGCCGAACCGTCACTCACCCCATAGAGTTAATGTATAACATTGACCGAAATTTTGAACGCCATAAAGCTTATTCCTCGAAATTTCCGATATAATATGCGCGATTTCCTCAGTTTACAGCCACAAAACAGCCACCGCGATAGCGCCGCAAGCTTAGTCGCCGTCATTCTGGTTGTTTCGATTTTGCCGTCTAGCCTCGATGCCACGTCCTACGCAACAAACAAGCTGGGCTGAGGCTATAGATGGGTTTTCCGGTTCCACTAAAGCCAACCCAGCCACTGTCTTCCCATTCTTATGGTTCTTCCAGTTGTTCTCGTGGTCTGTGTTTTTCGGGTCCAACCGCGAGAAGAGCAGCCGTCTGCCGTCTTTGTGGTCTTTGAGCGAGAAGGTTTTTTGCCAATAGGCTTAGTATTGAAGCGAGCTTGGTGGTCTAAACGTTGTCTTCAAATAGTGCCAAATGGTGCCAACTTCAACTTCGCTGTTTGTGCCGACAAAGGCGCCGACGAAGTGCGGCACCAAGAACAAACAGATAAACAAACAAGCAAAAAGTTAACAATAAAAAGTGGAAGTTGCACGAGAACTTAAACTTGACATTGAGCAAGTGGGAAGTGGCCAATATGCAGCAGAATATGTGCGGAAATTTGATAATTTGGCGCTGAAATCGATTTTTCGGAGCGATTGATTATTTAGACAATTTCGGGGTCCCCTCAGAATCCGAAAAATCAATTGGCGACTGTATATTGCCTTTAATCCACTCAAATTTGCTCCATCGATAGCTCGATTGATAGAGCGATTCACTGCTCTCATCCACAGGCGGCTAATCGAAATCTGGCTCAACACATTGAAATTTTTGTTGTCTCATAAACTCTACGGCGGCGGCGAGTGCAGCCCAAAGTCCCAGGCGTCGCAACTGAGACCGAATGATGACGTAGCTGACAACGTCGCCAGGAGCTTGTGCGGCGGACGACCGTGCAATTCCCCGGGCAGGTTCCCACTGCAGTGGACTCTCAATAATTTAAACTCGGATATTTCGTCAAGATTACTAATTGGGGGGGGGGGCTACTAGTTGGTTGAACATCTAGACGGAGATTTAAAAAGCGCAAATGACTAAGAAGAGAAGAAGGGGACAGGACAGAGCATGTCAGGGACTGCAAATGCTCACCATCATTCAACCACACCAAAGTTCTGAACCGGTTCCGAGACAAAAACACTAGAGAAGTGTACGAGGCTCAAGTCATCCTCACCAGTGGTGAAAAGTGCATAAGTGCTCCATCAGTAACCCTAACACAAAAATAACTTCAGTTTTTTCGGTGTTTTCCTAGAAGACTTGAAACACAAAAAGAACTTCAGTTCCAGCGGTGTTTACCTTGAAATGTTTTATAGTAGTTTGCTCAATGTCCTTTTTTTTTTATTCTTCTTTTCTTCTTGTATTATAGACAACGTTTTTGTGACAAGTACTCTGTCTTTAGGTGAAGTTGAAGTAATTTTTATATCGATTTCTAAAACTAAATATGTTGTCTTAGTAGCAGCAGTGAGCTTATTTCAATCTTTCTCTTCTCCTTTTTCACTTCCACCTTGTCTTTCTCTAGATGCTCTACTAAATTGACAGTTGTAAGTAAGTACTCCTGTCCTGTCCTCTTCTTCTTAGTAATTTGCGCTCTCTAAATCAGCGTCTACAGTGTAGACCGCATATAACGCATGTCACAGGAGTCGCGAAAATCCGCACTATAAGCGGTACCGCGTTATAACCAAAACATCAATTTTTCAGGCCAAAATACATGCCATGAGACAACTTACCTTTGTAAAACAATTTATTTTATGTTAGACGAAGAGGAGTCTTTATTTCACCAGACTAGTACACTTCTCTTTTAAGTGTGTCAATTTTGAAAGAAATGAGCGACTTTTGCCTGGCGCAGCCTTTTAACGGCATCGCTGGTTGCGGACGGACATTGCGAGCGTTCAGGATTGCTAACCCTAATCACTTTTCTCCGGTGATGAAGACGCGTGAAAATTCGCATCCTTTATACGGTACGCGCCAGTAATACCTTTAACTTTAGCACAGGCGTGAAATGCTCCAAATAAGAAATCCGGGCGATGTTCGAAAACACAAATGCTTCGAAAGCACCACTGTAGTCGAAGTAAACAAACACGACGACACGGGTGTTTCTGCCATCTTGAGAGTGCCGCCACGACATTGCCGCACGAGTAGGTGGATCTCCCCTTCTCCACCGAGGCAAACAGCAAACTGAAAACGGAGTAAATAGATGACGGAGCGCGCACAGATGGCAGAGCGCTGCTTCTGATGCGCCGACGCCTAACGCGAGCAGGGAGCAGCATCAACGTTCCAATGCTACGTACGGTGCACGCGGTCAACGCTGCCCAACTCCTGTCGGCATCGGGTCAAGAGAGCGATGGAGCCCGGAGTAGATCATCCCTTTGGGAGCCCCCGACGTGCGTGCCTGTGGCGTACCACACGCACATGTGCGTTGTACGGGAGGAGTGTTTACCGAAAGTTGCTGGAGGTTAAAAAAAGCAACTGGCCCAAGTGCGAAATCGCTAAAAAATTTGACATTCCGGCATCGGCTGTTCGACAGCCGATGCGGAAAAAGCGAGGCATATTGGACGGGTTCGAGAAGTCTACCGTGCAGGAGAAAGTGCGCTCGCAACTTGGAGACGAAAGGTTGCCAACTACTTAGCGCACGTCAGATTTTCTCTCGCGAGCATGCTTGCTGAGCCAGTGCACGATTCCCAGAGCTGCAATGGTCTCTACAAGAGTGTGTGAAAACATGTTGGCCGAGCCACCAAGCACAACTTTGATTCGTTTGCGCTTGTCGATGCGGATGTTCCCGTCGTTGCCACGAATGCTGCGACCGTAGACCATGCGTGTGGCCAGGGTAAACACAAGGCGGCGTCGGAAAGGTACTTTGAGAAACGCCGACGACTGCGGAGACGTGAAACATCCCACCGCTGCTTCGGAGCAAAGTGGAGTGCAGGGGTGGCGACAGTGTTCTTGCGATGCCTGGAGCAGTTCAAGGAGAACTGATGCTCGGATGAAATTATCGGAAAACTCCAGCGTTCCGCAGTGTTCCCATCCCCCCTTCAGGCTGCTGGCACTGTTTTTCGGGCTCTATCACTTTTATCGAATTACCCCTTGTATCAAATTTTTTACTGTCCTGTTGACTTTGTTAAAATGAGGGATTACTTATATTCAAACTAACTGGCCTTAGAAGTGGACAAGAGGATGGTTGAGAACAAGTTTAGCTGAATTTTTGTGTAAGCACGGTTCAACGGAAATAAGAGGCCCGGAGAAACTATTCGATATTTGAATAGAAAATATTCAGCCGAAACCCCTATTCCCTTTGAACTTCACCAATGTTTTATACCTCTGCCTGCTTAAGATATCCCTGTGTAAGGGAAACTGTAAAAAATCTGCTTGGTATGTGTGGCTATTCCTATTGCAAATCGCTACTTTGTCTCACATCACATTTAGATAAATATCTGATAAGTGAAACTTGCGATATTTCCAACTATTGTATTTACTCGCAGAATGAACACACTTTTTTCCCGAAAAATCAATGCAAAGTTGGGGGTTCATTACGCGAAGTAAAATTTTTGCGTCCGTATTTACTCGCATAATGAACGGACCTTTTATCCCGAAAAATCGACGTAACTTCTTATCTCTTTGCATGCGGCGCGCAACTCAAAAACCAAACTGCGATGTGCAAAAAAAAAATGCTCCTCTCCATGTTTTTTTTCTTGCTTCCGTTTTTTTTTGTTATTTTTTACCACCTTTCGCAAGTTGTTTTGTTTGCCCACGCTGCCCATGCATTCGCGACCTCGCTGCACTAGGATAGAAAAGTGCGTTCATTTCGAGGGCTCCTCGCTTCTCTTTCCAAAGTGTGAGGGCAGGATGCCTTCATTATGCATGCTTTGCTTAGGCGAGGGCTTCTCCGCTTCTCTTTCTTATCTCTTTCCGCGCGGCGTGCGACCCAAAATCCGGACTGCGCTGTGCACAAAAAAAAAAAAAAGAAGCTCCTCTCAATGTTTTTTTTTTTGCTTCGGTTGGATATTTTCTTATTTTTTTAACGCCTTTCGCGAGGCATTTTGTTCGCCCACGCTGTTCATGCATTCGGGACCTCGCTGCACCAGGATAGAAAAGTGTGTTCATTTCGCGCGCGTAGGGAAAGGGGGGGGGGTCAAAATTTTGACTTCCCAGTTGGGGTGCATTTAATACGAGAGTCAAAAAAAAAGTTGAAATTTTGAGAGCCGACTTGGGGGGTGCGTTCATTATGCAAGTAAATACGGTAAAGTCTTTGGCTTCCCCGAGTTTGAATTAATGAGAGTCATCCGCAACAGCTGTTGGCATAAAGAAATGGGCAGTCTTTGGCATTTCCCGAAGGTCTTTGTAGGGCCTCTCCACGCTCCTCCTTTAGCAGGCACAGTAAGGAGGCCGCCAAAGGGCACGCGGGGCTTTGACGGACATAGAAAGCCACTGCAGCGCACCGCGACGCCCCAACGTCACGTCACGGTGTCGCGCCACGTCGCGTGACATCACATCACGTGACAGCGCGATGCCATAGAGGCTTTTACGTCCCAGTGAGGACGTAAAAGCCCCGAGCGATGGCCCCATTAATGCCGGGCATATAAGACTGCAAATGGCTCCCGGGGCACTCGTTAGAGGCGGCGTCTTTCCCAAATGGCTCGTGCCGAGCAACTCCAAGGGCGGCCCCCGAGAGAACAAAGGCGGAGCTCACGGGGTGCGGAGTGTGTCCCGATCATGTAGACTGCGTAGGCCCACCGGGGGCCCAGGGACGCGTCGGGGGTCACGGCGTTCCAGCTCAGGAAGATCCTCGTGCCGTTGACGGAAGACGCCAGCTTCTGCGGCTTTGGCAGAGGCTTGCCTGCAGGGAGGGGAAGGCGGTCGACGCACATTCTTTTCCAAGCCGGACTCTATGCACCACAATGAGAGGGACCGTCCCACAAAGGAGGAGGACTCGCCCGTTCGCTGCAACACCGGCCACGCGACGAGACATCTCCCGGCGACATCGCGAGTGACGCCTACACTCGCCGGTGCGGAAATAGCAAGCGCAACGGGCGAGCCGGTCTCGCTGTCCCAGAGACGTGGAGAGACTTCCGTTACCTTGTGTGACAAAGTAGACCATCTCGTCGGGGCTGTGGAACTCGTCCTTGAAAGCAAACACCTTGGCAGTACATTTTGCACCCGGTGGAAGCCACGTCACTGAAAAGATATTACGGGAGGACACTCGAGACTGCTTACGTGTAGGAGGGCGAAAGCATTATAGCCACGCAGGAAAAAAGTTTTCGATTAATGTTTCAACGTGTATTAAAGTTTAAGACGACGTATAGGACGTTGCCTAGAGATAGACGCCAAGTACGACCTCTAGGACAACGTCCAAGACGACGTCAAGGATGGCGCCTACGACAACGCCGAGGAGAATCTCTCGGAACATCTCAAAGACGACGCCGAGGACGACATCTATGACGACGTTGCCTAGAGGAGGACACTTAAGGATCTATGGAGCCAAAACATTCTAAAATTTCATTCTTTTGCAAATGGCAATTTTGACCTCTAGAGCTGCTGCTGTTCCTCTGAATTAGCCAGGTTACAATTTTATAAATGAATATTTGACCTATAAATCAATTTACAATGTCCATGCGGGCTGAATGTGCATTGAAAATGACTCTAAAACACCGTTTTCAAAAAATACAATTTGTTGACTCATTGAAAATTTGCAGGTGGGACATCCCAGCATTTAGGGAAGATATAACAATGAACGTTCCTCAAATGTGTAGCTAAATCTCTGAAGCATACAGTGTTGAGAGCAGACTTCTTAGTATAGCTGTCATTTTTCAATTGATCTTTTGTTTCATTACTTGTTAGCCAGATATTGAGCAGTTAACTTCAATGAGTGATAAAATCACTAATAATGGGTTAACCTTAGAAGTAGAGGTGTGCAAATATCAAAACCTTTCGAAGCGAATCAAATCGAATAATAAAGGTTACGAATCAAATCAAATCAATTATTTTCAAATACGAATAGTATTATGCTACCCCAAAAACGCTCTTGTCTGTTTACTTCCTCGTCCTTGTGTTTTTTTGTGGTTCTTTAGGTGTGCGAATAGTAGTTTCAAATAAGGACATTTTTAAAAACAAATAGCAGTTTCTTTTTGATGTGAATTAAACAAGAATGCTCAATCAAAACACAACTGTAATTTCTTTTTTTTTTTCGACAAACACTCATTAAATGGTTACTTTTATTGTAATACAGTTGAACCTTGATTTAGCGAAGTCTCTGGGACCCCCTAATAGACCCTTTTAGAAATTCAGCGCCATCTATTGGAACGGTGGCGAAGCTTGGCAGATGGGCGTGGCGCGGCGTGCATCCGCCATAAGCATGTATGGCCGCGTCGGCGCTTGCTCAAGGTGCGCTACACCACCGACACCACTGCGGCCACAGAAGGTGTTGCGTGGCTGATACTTCGCCACACGCTGCTTCTGCGATGCCTTTTCATTGCCGTGTGCCGCTGTGTAAGCAAAAAGGACTCAAGGATGCCTCTGGCTCGCGGTTGGGCGGTGCACGCACGCGACCGCTGCGACAATCGAAACTGAAGAGACCCCGCCAGATTAGAAGCATGGAATGATATAAGCCGTCTCGTGCTGCTTCTCAAGCGCTAGCGTGACGGAAGGGAGCATGCACCTGCACCCTTTTCTTTTTGTAAACAGAAGCGACGTTGCTAGGCGAGATAACGTTAACATTCGGGCATTTCGTGTGACCTCTCGCGAATTTGTATACTTTTTTCTGTACGGGTGTCTTTGTTCGCCATCCCATCCGACCCCGAAAAAAATGGGTTGCTGCAATAAAACGTGACGAAGGCAAGCACTTCTCTATTACGAAGTACACTAAGATTTGCTCAGGGCACTTTCGAGAGGGCGACTACATTCCGAACGTCGCTAGTAAACGTCGCTACCTCAGACAGGAAGCAGTGCCAAGCATCTTCGCTTCCAACGTCGCGAAAAGGCCGCCCAGAAAGAAACCACGAGTACGACAGGCGCCGCCGTCAACGCCGAAGTTTTCCGCCGCTGATGCCGGTGTGACGAATGACGCAATCGCCGATCCGAGCAGTCAAGACGCGGTGAGCGAACCCACTAGTGAAGAGGCAAGCTACGCATTCGCCGATCTGACCGGTGGACACGCTGCACCTGGGGCGTCGAGCCAGAAGAATGCAAGCGGCGAAATCGTCCCTATCAATGCTATGGAAGACTTCACCGCTGACTTCATGTGCCACGCAGTCGCAACTGAGGACAGCGTAGTGAACGATTGTAACATCGACGACTGCGTTAATGCTGCCACAGGCGCAGTCCTCGATTGGGCTGAAAGTCTGAAATGGGCGACAAACGTGTAATCCACGATACTGTTAGACTGCCAGCAGCAGCAGTGCTCGTACTCGCGATGCCGTACATGCTCATGGCGGCGTTGGCGCCGTCTCCCTCGTACAATGAGGCCAGCCGCACTTTTGAGCACCGTCAAGATGACAATGATGATAGCTATTGAAGTGGCCAGACTGAATTTCGGAAAGGGTCTATTATTTCGTTAAATTGGGAACTTCGTAAAGTCGAGAAAGACATTCTTCGGGATAGGCTGCGCGGGGAATCCAAATTTGTTCGTTAAATCGGGAAACTCGTAAAATCGGGTTTCGTTAAGTTGAGGTTCAACTGTACAAAAAACGTCACACGAGACTGATAGAAAAACAGACGAAATAAAAGATCAGTTAGTAAAACGGGTGGTTCCCGTTTCGACCCATTCCCAATACAACCTTCCCGTTTGAACCTTCCCGTTTCGACCCGGCTCAAAACGACCTTCTCGTTTCATCCTTTCCCGTTTCGCCCTTACCCGAAACAACCTTCCCGCTTCGGCCATCGTTCGGTTAGTTTATATTGTTCGTTAACAGTTGATTAGGTTCAAGTGTCCAGTGTCTGTTCTCCTTGCTCACATCACTTCTCCCTCTCGCGAAACAACCTCGGAGACATGGCACCGTAAGATAAACGCTGTGTCAGGGAGGGCTCACCTGAACATTTACAAGTTCATTGACCTGCAAACGAGATGAGGCCTTGACAAGGATATCGCTGCAGCAGCTTGCAAATGGTGGTGCCGTGCGGGCCAGGTGACCACCGCGAACTATCACAATTGGAGTGTCGCTTTTCTGATGGCGCGACTTTCCTGCTCGACTTTATCAACCAAGGCGATAGCATTTTGTGGTTTATGATTTTTGCCTGTGTACGCGACGGTTCTGTGTTTGAACTTGTAAAAAATGAAGTCGCAATCATACGCCCGTCAGCCTGTCTGATTTATCACTTTTAAAAATATCCCGTCCGCTATAAGGAAGTTTTAGAATAAAGTACGCAAGCGCTTTGGGTAACCTAAAAATAGCGTCGCGATATAAAAACTTAGGCAACGCTAATTTTTGCTTACTCAAAGTGCTTGCCTGCGTTACTCTAAGACCTTATTGGGGAGTTTTCGTAGACCGCGTTTTCCCCTCCGCTAAGCCCTCCGCAACGAAGACGCAGCTATACTGTGCCTGCGCGCCGATGGCCTTGACTGTAGAGTTCTGGGTATCGTAGCGAATTGCGGAGAGCGTCGCGTTACGTCGAAAACGGTCTACGAAAGCTCCCTGTTATTGTACAGAGCGCGAAACCGTTAGCGCGAACAAGCGATTGTTGGTTTTAGCTGTTTGTGTCAAAAAAATCAGAAGACTGCCATCAATATTATTAGTGTGTTTGAAAGCGCTCATCTGGTCCACTAACCTAAGCGGCAAAATGTGGTAACTTCTATTACTAGTAATAACAGTAAGAAAGCACAAAACAAACAGAGGGACAAAAACAGACATGTTTTGTGCTTTCTTACTGTTACATCTGTCCCAACACGCTCGTCAAAGTCTTCTATTACTATTTCGAGGTAAAATTCGAAAAAACGCCAACATTGTGTTCGTGATAACGTTGTCGCGCAGTGTACATAGTCCATTTCGCAGTAACACATTTTGGGGGCCATCTTCAAAGAAACATGTGGTTCAAGTAGAAATATATTTCGTTGAAGCTCGTCTGAAAGTATTGCATATTTTAAGAATACGTTTACAAGCAAAAATATTTCACAACATAACAGGATTGCTCGCCTGCACCTTTGCATTAATTGCATTAACATGATTTCGGGACATATTCTTAAGCAGAAAAACTGCACAAACCCGGATTAGAACGATGGACACTTTTCGCGAAGAGGTTGAGATGTGTAGGGCTTTATACCAACGGGTTCAAACGCGACGAATTCAAACGTAAAATATGTCTTGGCTACGGGTTCAAATATGAAGGGCGTTTTGGGAACGGGTTGAAACGGGACAGGTTCAAACGGGAAGGTTATTTCGGGAATGGGTCGAAACTGGACGGGTTCAAACGGGAAGGTCGTTTCGGGAATGGGTCGAAACGGGACGGGTTCAAACGGGAATGGGTTGTTTCGGGCTACACCCAGTAAAACACCATTGAAGGTGTGAAGTTACAGGATGTAAGTGAAGCACACAACCTGAGGGAGGTCGACAAGCCACAACACAGTCAGAAATTTTGCGATCGCGCCACGCAGCTGCACTGACTTTGTGCTATCTCTTTCCGTGTACAATAGTTTTGTTGATAGAGGGCGCCACGAGGAAGCAATAAATTAAAAATACGCCGGGTTTTTTTTTTGGTGGAGGGAGCAAGTCACGCTTTTACCAGTGAAAACAGGTAGAAATAAGTAACAAAAGGAATATTGTAACTGATGAACCGGAAAATCAAGCAGAAAATAACACGAGCCGAATATCGCCGATAGCTGAGGTCAGCCGTGAATCCATATCCGAATCCATAGCACCTTGGCTGCTGTAGGGACTAGGGGTGTCGCGAACTTTTGTCGAACCAGATTTTTAGGTCGAACTTTTGGGGTTCGACTGGGTCGAACCGGTTCGACGAACCTTCGAAACTTTTCACCAGGTTCGACCGGTTCGACTTTGCGGACAGTGTGGCCAGACTTTGATAGACGCATGTCTAGGTTTGGAGAATTTATTTTTATGCAAAGGGTTATTTTATTTTATGAACAGTTGGAATTAAAAGAAACCACTTATAATCATTGAAGACGTTAATAACTTAATTTTTGTTGTACTGTATTAACTGAAATAACCAATCAGCGGTGCCCTTAATTCATCCCTTAGCCATTACCATCCAATCCGAAGCCAACTGGCCAGCCTGTTGCGCATGCGCACACGAGTCGAACCTCAATCCAAGGTTCGTCGAATTTCCACGGAAAGTTCGAAAAAGTCGAACCTGGTCGAACTCGAACCTCGGCCGGTTCGCGACACCCCTAGTAGGGACTGTAGGAAGGACTGTAACGAGTGTGGTCCATTGCATTTGTGCTCACGACGATGCATGTGCCATTGCAAATCGAAGTCCATCAAATCTATCGCTGCGTTTGCGCCACGACCACTTCGCCAACTCCGCAATCCAGATATCATGGCAAGCAAAGGACAGATTGCGCTACTGCATGCAAATAACTTTCCTGCATTAAGACAGAGGCTCCCCACGCTTGTTTTGGGCAAGTTGAGGTGGCAGTTTGCATATCTGTGGCAGAACGCGGTCGGAATGGGGACCTCCCCAAGGGGCTCACGATTGAAGGCGGCCCGAGGGGTGTCCGCCCTTTCCCAAGGCAGGGGGTAGGCATCTTCCGTGTGCAGGCCCCAGGACACCCGGTAGCCGTCCACGCCCGGGAGGGCGTCCCAGGACAAGGCCACGGCCGAGAGCCCCAGGGGGGTCGCCCGCAGGTGTCCCAGCGCAGGCAGCACATCCGTCTTGGCAAACGGCAGCACGGCCGGAGCCGAAGGAGGGCTTTCCAGCTGGCCACGGGCGCACGACGCCACCTGCCGTACAGTTCTCACCTAGAGGGTCCCGCTCGTTCCTGTAGTCACGGTGGGGGGTCCCGACGGGCCCATATCGCCGGTCACGCCTTCATTTATGCCAAAAGGCAGCCACCCATAAGGTCCGGCTTTTTTTCTAGCTTGCTTCGCAAGAAAACACAGCATCGCACATTGTATAAAATTATACAGGCTCCATCATACTGACAAACAACAGGGCGCACAGGATGCGTCCTGCACAGACCACACTCTGCGTGTGGTTACTACATTTTTCATTCTTTTACAGCTGAGCTGTTAAGGGCTAGGTTCCCCAGGATCGTGTCCGGTATGTCGACACAAGCCTACCTGGACAGCTACCGCCATCTACAAGCGACGGCGGCAAGCACACAACCAGTCTGGTTTCCGCCCTCGCTCATAGATGGCGGCAACCTTTCGAGCTATCATAGAAGAATTTATAGTTGGGCGCGTTGGTGGGAATTCATCGTAGGAAACAGCGTGAAAAACAGACGACGACGAAGAAGAAGCACACAGTGTATCAAGTACAGGTCCGCTGGTCTTCCTTCTTCACGAGAGTGGAAAGACTGAATGATTTTTTATTATTTATTTACAGTAAAACCTGGGAAATTCAACCCCCACTAATTCGGAAATTCAGATAATTTTAAGTGCCGATCCGGTCCCGTCAATGCGTGTATTAGTCAATGGCACCAAACGCTCATTAATTCGGAAGTAACAGGGCATTCTACGGTTAATTTGGACGAATTTGGCAGGTGGCGAGAGCTACCGTCCGTTCCAAAGGGTATGACCGCTATCCATCCGAGGTGCATACGTGGTTTTTCAGGTTTTCCCATGGTTCTTCGCTCTTCCGGTTCTTCGTGTTCAGCACCAGTTTTGCTCTGGATTGCCGTGCGTTAGTGCGCTACTCTCCTGGCATGGAAACGGCAGAGGCATAGCTGCGGAAAAAGAGTAGCACAAGCGACCGATAACCGGAGCGGCAAAATCGCGACACACGGTGCTATTGTTATCGAGCACGCCGATAGCGAGAGTGACAGTCATGTTCATGCCTCAACGCGGGGTGGCCGGCAGAAATCAGCCCATCCTAAAGCCCGCAATTTTAACAGCTATCTTATCTCTCAATATTTCACCGGCCACCTCCGCTTTGAAACTTGAGGACGAGATCCTACAGGCTTTCGAGAGCGAGAAGTTCAACGCGAGAAGAAGGCGACTGTGGAAGGTGGTGCACCCGAAACTAGATGAGGCGTTGCTGCGCTAAATCGTCGGCGCACGGGATGCGTAGCTCCGACAGTGCGAGTGCGGTGGAGCACTCGACTGCACAAAGGAAAGTTGCCGTCTCCGCCGAAATGTCGTCTAGAAAGCAGGCGGCAATAACAGATTTCTTCTCAAAATAAAGGTATGTCACAGGGAAACATTTTCGCGCTGTTTTCCTCGTCCTTTCGATATTTCGAGTCGCGGATAATTCTGACATTTTTGCCGGTCCCATGAGATCCGAATTAACGAGGTTTTACTGTATTACAAGTACCCTCAGGGCCTTTGGCATTGAAAAGAGGAGTGGCTGCAAAAATAAACGATCAAGTAAAAGAAAGCGGTTAGTAGAAGTACAAAAAAATGGCACCTATTTATACGATATTGGTCAAGGCGTTCTTGAACAGTTGGAGGTCTCGTATCGAAGCTGCTGGTACGGGAAGGCGATTCCACTCTTCTAATGTGCTGGGGACAAACGACTCAAAAAAAAAAGCATTAGTCCTGCACATGGGGACACCGACCTTATGGACATGTCTAATCGAGATGAAATGTACTGGGGAGGAAAAATAAGTCTGGCACGGAGATGGAGCTGATAAACAACTTGTGCAAGAGGCAAAGACAAAACTCTTTACGACGAGATGCCAAAGACGGTGAGTCGAGGCTGGATTTCATTGTGGTAATGTTTGCAGTTTTGTTATAGTTGGACAAAATAAAATGAACAAAGTTATTCTGAATTATTTCGAGTGAGTGAATTCAATTTTCGTGACAAGGATCCTCGACTGAAATGACATATTCAATTTTTGGACGAATTAGTGCTTTGCAAAGTAGAAGTTTTAGAGATGAGGGAACTTTTGCAAAATTACGTCCAAGATATCCCAACATGGGGTTAGCGTTATTAATCATATATGTTATATGAACTGCCCAAGTGAGATTTGATGTGATGTGAATACCAAGATATTTATAACTGGTCACAGTGTCCAGGGGCAAGTTATGAAGATGGTAAACAGGTAGATTATGAACTGTCCTGGACACGCATATAAATTTGCATTTGTCAATACGTATTCAATTCCATGCACATGTTTGCACCAAACAGCAATAGCGTTAGGATCAGACTGGAGTGTGTTAGTGTCATCTTCACAAGTTATTTCCCTGAATACAACACAATCATCGGCAAACAAATGAATATGGGAAGGGAGGGTAGATCATTAATATACGTAAGAAAAAGAGGAGCTCCGAGCACAGAGGCTTGCGGCACGTCAGAGTGAATGCAACTCGGCTAAGAGAGGTGATAATTAGCTACAATGAACTGCAAGCGGTTAACCAAAAAACACTGAAACCAGATAAGAAGTTTTGGATTCAGGTTGAGTAGGTGCAATTTATAAAGAGGAATAGCTTATGGCATACCTTGTCAAAGGCTTTCAAAAAGTCTAAAAAGATGCAATCGGATAATCAGGAATGGTCAAGAATGACATCTAGCTTATGAAGGACTGATACCAACTGTGTTTTACACAAGTAGGTTTTTCGAAAGTCATGTTGTGACGAAGTGAAAAAATTGACCGCATCTCCACGTGGTGAATGATGTTGATTGGGCGAAGCTCTGGTGGTGCTTGTCTGCGTAGACGCTGAGCCACAGCATGCCGAGCCTTTAGTTAGTTTCCATCCATGTCAGAAAGAGAATGTGTGGTATGGAACGTGGTTATATACGCATTTGAGCATTTGACCGCAGCGCCCTCTCGTCTATAAACGTTGAGCCAATGCATGCAAAGTTTAACGCGATTATATATGCATTTGACCGCAGCGCCCTCTCGTGTATAGACGTTGAGCGGCTACATTTAACGTTTCATCCATGACATCCCCAGCTCTTGAGTTGCTATCACATCTCAGAGCCCCCTACTCGTTCCGCAGTTGTGGCCGAGTGGTTAAAGCGGCCCAAACTGTCGCCATGGTACCGCATTTTCCCAAATGCGCAATGCAATTCAAAATGGCGAGGTCACTATGGGAGGGGCTGCAATGATTCCTCGATGGTGCGCAGCAAGTTGGTGACATCTCTAATAAGAGGTTCTCCCTTACCCCAGAGGCAATATTCACCGGTAAGCATCTAAACTTTCAGGAAAGACATTTGCAAGTATGATCATAGAGCCTACCATGACCATATTATCTTCTCTCGCACTCCTAGGAAACTTGTTCACTCTGCACACCATGCATCAGTGTGAAGATTTCCATGTCTGAGTGTCTGAGCGATACGAATCCAAAGAGCCCGGTCCCAAAAGTCGCTCTGCAGAGGGGAGGAGTGGGTGGGCGGCCACTCACCGTGAAGGTGTAGGTGACGCCCGGCTGGAAGGGGAAGTCCACCACCGCTGAGCTGACCGACCCGGCCAGGGTGACCACAAAGGCCGGGTAGGGTGGGCTGAAGCGCACCTGGGCGGGCACGGCACCGGTCAGGAAAGGCCACAAACCCACATCTAACAGTTCGCACACAGAACAACTTACATTGTAAAGGTCCAGCGAAAATGCTTAGAAAAATGTATGGTTACATCGAACGAAAATTGCAGCTGCACCGGTACAGGAAATATTGGGTAGCATCCCATTAAAGGGGGACGCAGAAAAAAAAAAATTCTGCAAAAAAAGTTGATATTAAAAAATGCCATATTTACATTCACCAAAGTTCCCCTTGTTCACACTGCATAGTTATCCTTTTAGATATTATTTTTTTGCCACCGATGCTAAAAAAAAGGTTGTGGTTTGAGCACTTTGAATGCATTCTTCTCAGTTCCAGTTTCTGGCATAAATTTCAATTTAGGAGAACTATTGTTTGGTAGCGGAACAAAAGGAAAGGCTCACTCACTGTTTTTCCTATCTGGAATTTAATGACCACTGCAACATTGGCATTGCTTTTATTACTTTGAGGATGTCCTTAATGAAACATATTAGGATTTTGCCAACAAAAAAAGCAAAAAATTTATTGAAATTGTAAGCGTCGTGTTAGCATAAAATTAATTACTTTTGTTTAAAAATTTTGTTTTCAGTTGCACTTGCCAGGCATTCTGCTGTGTATCTAGTGTAGAAAAATGTTGGGTATTAGATTAGTTTTCAAACAATAGTTTTCTTAAACAATGTCAGTGTGTTCCTGATAAAAACAACTATAATTTCATTCACAATTCATGTACACAGATAAAACTCTGCCTTACATTCTGCCTCCCAACTGCCAGTATATACTGTCGCAATTGTTTGTAACAATGTCGCTTATAACGAAATGGCGGCTTTAGCGAAGCAATCTCGATTTTCCATTCCCATTTAAACTTTTTCAATGTGCTTCTGTCTGTTTTTAGCGAAGAAAATTCAGCAGCTCCTGCAGATATAGCGTAAAGAAATTGTTCGATGATTTAAAAAAATGATCAAATTCTGGAAGTTTACAGAATTGCAGACCTCCGCACTTTGCTGCTGAGCAGGCGCCCAGAGCGAGCCGCAGATGCGCTGCAAAAACAGCCCGCGGCAGCCTCCGCATCATCGTCCGCTCACTGCTTCTTATCTGGGAAGCGGCTTTTAAGCATTGCACGCGGAGAAGCCGTCGTGGCATGCCGATAGGAGCGTTCGGAGCACCAGTGACAACGTGCCTATGAATATACCGACGGAGACGATGCAAAGAACCTAGATTTGAGAGGGGGATCAACTCCAATTTAATAGAGGACGCCTCCTGGGCGGATGGGCTCAAGTGTGCCTGCATTTGGTTGTCTCGTGGCCAGAGTGGCAAGAAAACCGGGTGGAGAGGCAGATACGTTCGCAGATGATGAACGCTTTTGACTCCTTGAGGCTGCAGCTCGTTGTGCAAACGCGGCCCACAAACCATGCGACTCCGATCGAGCAGTTGCCCCCTCTTTTAAATCTAGGCTCTTTATACCGACGAAACACAAACTTGAGTGCGAACTCGGAGTGGGCGCGCTTTGTTTGCTTTGTGCTTCCTGTGGGCATCACTAGTCGGTGTGGTCGCTCTCTACGCGAAAGTCTAGCTTCACTCAAGCACCATTTCGGCGAATCATCGCCACTGAACAATGGCGAGTCCCGGCACCGCCGGCACCTTGACAGGGACGACAAAGGCAATCTTTTCGAAACAAAAGCATGCTGCCATCCTCGATAAAGTGCGCATCGACGTAAAAAATGCCGTCCACCGTCGGCGTCCGCCGCGGCTGTCGACAGGACTCTGGACGAGGTCAATATGTAGCTCGCAGTATTTTCTTTCCATCGGAGCTTCTCACAGTTGGCGAGAAGCGGCTAAGATCTAGCAGAGAAAGTGTGCAGGGAAGCCTCAACCGCTTTCTGTACGCATGATAAACATGTGCCCCTGACAGCCTGTATTTATTTTTTGTTGGTTTTTTGCACGTTGCTTCTATGGAGGCCAGGCATAATGAAGAAGCGGATATAGCGAAGCAATTTCAGTCTTGTAGACTTCATTATAACCGGTCTGGACTGTACTGTAAATTTTATTCGTACGAAGCTAAGGGTATAAAAGTTGACCTTATGAATGGTGTCCTTCCTTAACACAAGGTTTCACCTACCGAAAGGAGTCGTCGTCTCTTTTCCCGCCGACGTAAGATGCACCATGAGCAAATGCGAGGGACCAACGTCCTTATGACGTAGATCGCCAAAGAGCCCACAAATGCTCTCCCACTTGAACATGGTTCCAGTTGTAAGCAACTGCAACTACGTTCAACGTATACCCAACTCGCCCAACCGTCTTCATTACTACTCTCCTATTTCCTCGCCTCTTTCCTGGGCGTGGAGCGCTGGCACTCGGCAGTTCCGAGGCAGCCCACCCATCGTGGTGACCGCGTCGCAACGTCCCAGTATCGCGACCACATCACCACGCGACTCCGTGGAAACTCACGTTATGCTTTTGTGCCAACTTTTCACGAAGCTCCAGACTCATAAGCTAGAGAGTCAAAGCGTCAAGCTGGAAACCTGCGAGCGAGCCCTTGGATGAATGTACCTTGAAGAAGTCGACGGGCGGAAGGGCTGCGGACACGGGCAGCCTCCAGCTGAGTTCCACCTTGCGCCCCACCAGCTGCCTCGCCACAACGTCCTCGGGGGCAGGGGGAGCTGCACCAAGCGAGGGATAAAAAAATTTTTAACCGATATAAAACATCCGGTCATTTTCTCAGTCGGGGTAATTAATGACAACGAATTCGGGTAAAAAATTGAATATGTGGCTACCAAGCAATAGCTATCGAGCAAAACTACCAAGTTCAGTTAAAATATTTTTAAGATCCAGATTGAAGAATTCGCTCTCAACATTGTACGCTTTGCGCATTTAGCTACAAATTGCAAAAAAAGTCATATTTCAATTTTCCCTAAGCGCCGAGACATCCCTCCCGAAAATAAGCAAAGTCTGAAATTTGTGTTTTCAGAAAATGCCGCTTAAGAACTTGAATGCAATTTTAGCCCGCACACATATTATAACTCGATAATATACTCGAATATAGACCCACAATATTAGGAACTTGACAGATGAGGAGAGCTTTAGATTGCAAAAGCCCAAATTCCGAAACAACAATTTGTCCAGACTATCTAGCACCCAAGAACCCTGTCTCCAGCCATCCCTTCCGGTCTGGAGTCCACCAAGCACTCTTACGGACCGCAAGAAGCTACTAACCAGTAGTGTTGACGATTGGGCTAGTTGGTCATTCATATTAGCGGAAAACAAACAGCGCAAGGACAAGGACAGAGTAGAAGGCGGTAGAAGGCAGCGCTGTGTGTGTCTACCGCCTTCTACTCTGTCCTTGTCCTTGCGCTGTTTGTTTTCCGCTACTACTAACCAGTGTTGCGGAGTTGCCACTCTGGAGTTGGTATAATTCCGGAATCATTCCGCATTTTCGCGACCCCGGAATAGAATGGGAATGGAATGGCGGCAACATTGAGGGGAATGGAATGGGAATGGAATTAGATGCCTTTTGCCCGGAATAGAATGGGAATGGAATGGCGGCAACATTGAGGGGAATGGAATGGGAATGGAATTAGATGCCTTTTGCCCGGAATGATATGGGAATGGAATGGGCCCTGGTTCTTTATATTTTTTTTATTTATTTATTTATTATTATTTATTTATTTATTTATGTGTGTGTGGGGGGGGGGGGTTACGTTCAGCTATACCAAGCCAGTCAGCGAGTCAGTTGTTCAGAAATAAAATGAATACAAAAAAAGTGAAGGCCGTTTACAATTCCCTGTAACGCTGAATTGGAGCGCAGCTCTTGAGGAGGAGGAGTGAAGTGTACTGAGGGGAGGGTAGACCCCTCCTCCTTCCCTCATTCTTTAATATGCTCCGGGGGGTCACGTGACCTCGGGAAGGGGGAGTCACGTGACTTCGGGGAGGGGGAGTCACGCGACCTCGGGGAGGCGTGATCTAGAAGTCACGTGACCTTGGGAGGGGTTATGTGACCTCGGGGGGTCACATCACCTGGGGTGGCCTTGGGGGTCACGTGACCTTGGGAGGGGTCACATGACCTCGGGGAGTCACGTGACCTCGGGGGGTCACGTGACCTTGGGGAGGGGGCCACGTGACCTCGGGTCACGTGACCTTGGAGGGGTCACATGACCTTGGGGTGACCTCGGGGTCATGTGACCTTCAGGGGGTCACGTGGGGGTCACCTTGGCGGCCACGTGACCTTGAGGGGTCACGCCACCTTGGGGGTCACGTGACCTTGGGAGGGGTCACGTGACCTCGGGGGGTCACGTGACCTTGAGGTGACCTTGGGAGGGGTCACGTGACCTTGGGGAGTCACGTGGCCTGGAGCTTGGAGGGGTCACGTGACCCCTCCAGGTCACGTGAATTTGGGAGGGGTCACGTGACTTCGGGGGGTCACGTGACCTTGGGGAGCGGGCCACGTGATCTCGGGGTCACGTGACCTTGGAGGGGTCACCTGACCTGAGGGTCCCGTGACCTTGGGGTGACCTCGGGGTCACGTGCCCTTCAGGGGGTCACGTGACCTTGAGGTGACCTTAGGAGGGGTCACATGACCTTGGGGGTCACGTGATCTGGAGGTCACGTGACCTTGAGGGTCCCGTGACCTTGAGATGACCTTGGTTACGCTGACGGCGACAACGACGCCGCTCAAGCCGGAAACGGGCCCCTAAGAGCTGCGCTCTAAAAGCAAGCGTCAAAGCAAAGAGCAGAGGGGGAAGGGGGGGGGGTGGCAGTGGCACCTTTCACGGACGCGCTGGCGACGGACTTCATTGGTGTTACACGAAAGCGAAACAAGAAACCAAACAAAGCAAAAAAAACGAAGGGTGCAGCAAAGAAAGAATCCGCCATGCACGGCTGCTCATCGCCCTTCTTGTCTTGCTTTTTATTTTATTTTTGCGACGGCATGGAAAAGCGCGCGCGCGCAAAGACTGAGATTTGGGAGCGAAGAATGACTCATAACTCGCAGAGCTCTGATAACTCGTTGACTCGCGCGCCACTGAAAGATGATCAGTTCTTGTTTTCTTATAGTTCAAGGAGCATTGTTTAGCAGATGGCCAACCCTGCCGCCTTCCACGTTCATTCGCGCGCACTCCTTTGAAGTGCAAAATCTGGGTTTGTTTCGGCATTAAAAAAAAAGTGAGATTCACTTCACTCTTCCTCTTGCGCTTTGCTCTGATGCTTGTTTTTTATACTGCATTTTTACATGTAAGTCCGCCTTTTACTTGGTCTTCATTCCGACGCTTGTTTTCCGTGTTATATGTTTTACATTCAGGTGGGTTAGGATTACAAGCAAGCTAGCGGATTCCCGCTCATTTCCTCTGACTATAGTCTCTACATACTTTGTTTCACCTTGCGATGGACCACTGTAGACGCTACGAGTCACCCCAGGCAATGCAGCACCCTGAGCTTAGTAAGATCAGTGCTTTTTTGAGGAATTCAGCATTTTTTTTGCAATTGTCTATGCGTTTGATACTGTCAGCTTTCAGCTGCTTATGCCGGCAACACAACAAGGTTGGGCAGTATTGTATTTCAGCAATACATTTCGTATCTGTAATTCAGTATCGCAATACATTTTTTTTACCAGTATCTCTATTCCCGTATCAAACACATGTGGAGTTGAACATGATTGTAAACCTGAGACTGGGGCAGAAAAGAGAACACAACAGAAGGTAGAAAAAGGGGAGGCAACGTCTCAAAGACGTTGCCTCCTCTTTTTCAGTGTTTTTAGTGTTTTTTTTTTTATCGCGATACAATTAGGGTGAAATGTATTTGGTTACATTTTCTGAGAAATAACCCTCCCCCTTCCCCCCCCTCCCCTCTCTCTCTCTCCCTCCCTCCCTCCCTCCCTCCCTCCCTCCCCCTCCCCATCCCCTTCCCCCCTTTTTGCGTAATGAGTCGCCACGAACTGACTTATAAAAAGGACTTGGTTTAATATTTACATGACCGCGGTGAGATCCATCCCGACAATTGCCCTGCTTTTTCGTCGCCCCAAAAACCAGAATGTCTCTTCACGCGCCATCCTTTCTTCCTCGTCCTCAGTCCCAGACACGATCTCGTTCACCAAAAAATGTCACAGGCGCGAGACAGAATCGCCCTCCACTAGTCAATTTCCAACACATTCCCCCCAAAATGAGCGCGAGGGAATCGCTCATTCACTATGCAGTTCTAATGGGTATCTAATGGGTGCAAAAGCTGAAGTGGTCTTTTCAATACTTGTCCCCTCGGCATGTTCACAGCACAGGATCGCACAATTCCATCCCGGCCGTGGTAAACTTCTCGGATCCGACCAGTCCGACATAGATGCCTTGGAGTCTTGTTGTCCTCGACGAGAACGAGGTCTCCTTCCTTAACTTGACTGTCTTTACGACAATGCATTTCATGTGCTGACCGGAGTTGAAGTAAGTAGTCTTTACGCCACCTCTGCCAAAAGTGGTCTAGTAGCCGCTGCCGATGCCTCCAGCGCCGAGTGACTTCACTCCTAGTAGGTGGCTGAAGGTCCTCCATAGCTGAGGTTGGAAGAGCTGTCAGCCGTTTTCCTGTCAGAAAATGTGCCGGAGTTAACGCTTCTGGTTCGTCGGGAGACACATGTAGGAATGAGAGAGGTCTTGAATTAACGACCGCCTCGATTCCGTGGAGAATGGTGGTAAGTTCTTCAAATTCGTAGCTGTTCCTTCCTAGAACCTTTCGAAGACTTGTTTTCACGGTGCGCACTAGGCGTTCCCAAAATCCGCCCCACCAGGCGGCTCGCTCTACGATAAATTTCCACTGTATCCTATGCTCGGAGTAGTGTTCGTGCACTTTCTTGTCATTGAGCACGTACCAGATGTCGCAAATTTCCTTGGAGGCTTTCTTGAAAGTTAAGGCGTTGTCACTGTACACCACCCGAGGTATTCCTCGCCTGGCTGTGAACCTCTGGAAGGCCATGAGGAAGGCTGGAGTAGCCAGGCATGTGACCAACTCTAGATGTACGGCGCGCGTAACTGCACAGGTAAATAGTGCGATGTACGCCTTTTCCATGCCGTGTCCAGACTTGACCAAGAGGGGCCCGGCAAAGTCCACTCCTACTATTTCAAACGGTCCTGCTTCATTTACGCGCTCTGCTGGAAGCGGAGCAGTTGGTGCTGATGCCTTTTGGGCTCTTGACCGAGCACAGACGTTGCAGCGGTTAATAACCCTCTTCACCGTCTGCCGAGCTCTGGGAACCCAATAACGTTCTCTTAACTGGGTTACAGTGTCTTGTATTCCTCCATGGAATGTAAGTCGATGCATGCTGTCTATCAGAAGTTCTGTGAAGCGATGCCCAGAGGGTAACAGTAGTGGGTGCTTGACTTCTACTGGTTCGTGTCTGTTTTGGAGTCGTCCTCCGAGTCGCAGTTGCCGGTTGGCATCGAGGTAAGGACTGAGAGCAATAATGCTGGATTGCGCGTTCAAACTTCTGTCTTCTACTAGTTCGTTGATCTCATTGGTGTAGGATTCCTCTTGGGTTCGTTTAGTCCAAAACAGTTCTGCTTTCTCAAGTTCATCTGTGGCCAGAGGACCCCCCGTTTTACTTGGTGGTGTTCTGCAGTTCTTACAGAACCTCATGATCCACGCTGAAACTCGAAGAACACGTTCTAGTTTGCTGTATCGCTCTAACTCC